AAACATCAGACAACACACCAGCCTGTTATTTATCTTCTGTTCAAAGCATGCCATGCCCCAACCTGTATTTCTTTTAATGCTTTAACGTAACCAAAATAAGGGGACATTTAGCGCTGACGAAAAGTACAAGGGCCGCTAAATATTATATTCATCCAGCGTTTTGTCATTTTCTGCCAAGGAAAAGCTCTCGAGCCCTTGCCAAATATCTCAGCCGTCATAACCTGGGAAGAGATGCCCGAGAGACCAGTGCACTCATCACACTCTCCGTGATTGAAACCCGGCAATGCGTGTAGATGATTTGCCTTATTTTCTGTGCCGGGCAGCTGGAAGGAGTTGTCCTCTCAGTGGGATCCCCCTGTCCTTCTCGCGGAGGTGCCCACCCTTTTCTCTCCACTCTTCCATCCCGTCTAGACTGTCTTAATCTCCCCCACAGAACCACAAGCGGGAACAAAGTTCCCCTTTTGCCCAACAGGAACAATGCTCTCTTTATTCCAAGCAAGCGGCATGCTTCTCTCTGCATTGTTTCCCTGTAATCTGTGTGTTCTGCATTTGCATGTGGGAGCAGGATTCATGCCTTTCATATTTTCCTTCTTTCCTTCCTCACACTCGGAGTGCGAGACTGGCCCTGCGAGACTCCCTGCCCAAGCTTCTAATGTTTTCATTTTCCCTGTGTCCCTTTTCAGTGATGACAAAATTGTGCAATGCCACTAGCGATGCCTCCTGTACAATATATTGAGCAATTTCGGTCGCTGTGTTACAAAAGAGATATCTCCGCTCTGTGGACATCTGGAAGAAACTACACAGCCATGTTGTGTCATAGCTCATTGCTTTTTGAAATAAATGGCTGGACGTGATCCTCAGATCAATTAGCTATTAGCAATCAAACGAAGGCCTGAATGCTTTCTTGTTTTATAGATTTCTTGTGTCTATTAGTGTATAATGGTAGTGAACAGACATATTCTCTGTTATTAGGTCTCTAAATAAAGCAAGGAGGCCATGTTGAGATAACAGATTAACCTTAATATCTTCACCTGAACTTGTGAAAACAGCTGAATATCTAGAACTGGAACTGGCAAGAATGCACGTTTAATTTGAGAAGTAAACAGTCAATTTATGTTTGTTTACAAACAGGATCCTTTACATTATTAATTAGTTCAAGCACCTCATATTCAGTTTGACATTGCAGTCTGTAAAGCTACATTTTGGACAGGTTGCGAGCTCTGTTTTATAACCACTGTGAAATACACGGTGCAGTTCACGATTTCAAATCTATTGTGTGTTGCACTGGGTTGAAGATTCAGCTTAAGCTGAGTTGCAGCACTTAGCCTCCAGTCTAAACAGCAATATCTCAGTGCATCTGGATACCAGCAAATGGATAAAATCCATAACTGTAATCCTTTTTTTGGGGGAAAAAAAAGATTCAAGTTTTCTCTTTCTTTCCTTCCTCTTTTCAGACTCTCCCAGCTGCATCCCCCACCCCTACCCCTCTTTTCCCTCCCTCCATCTCTCCCCTGCTCTCTGGTTGTGTTATCAGGGGCATAGCTTCAGGGCAGGAATGTGAGGATTAGCTGACTTGAGCAAGATGAGGCAGGTCCCCCAGCTGCAGTGCAGCAGGTATCCAGATCTGAACCGCCAGAGAGCGGAGGAGTCTCTTCTCAGAGCTGTGGCTATGCACTGCATGTGGATATTGGCTTATGGGACAGTGAGCTACTGTATTTGTCATCTGCGTCACCTCTGGCTTGGTCACCACTGAGAAGTAAACTATGGAGGCGTCGTCAATGCAGGACAAGAGCAGACAGGTAATTTTGAGCGACAATCTCTAGGCTCTCCACATGTTTGAACTTTTTGAGTCATTTGGGACAAGAGTCTGAAAATACAGTTTGCAAAAAAAAAATAGGGTTTTGGAAAGATAGAGGTTTTGACTTTCAGACTAGAGCTATAGGATTCTTGTGAACTTTAAATGAACAAACCATTTACTCTGAATGCAATTCAGTGTCTTTGCAGCCTGTGTTACTATTCCCATAAAAGAACAGAATATTGCTCTCCACCACTGTCAAAAACACTCAGTGTTTGATGGAGCAGAAACATCTTCCTCTAAAAACTCACATGTTGTGGGGCCCTGGTTCCAGCATGCAATGGTCTATTTGTGTATAAAACAGATGCAAAAAAGTATAGATGGCTACTTCAGGGCCCCTGTCTAGGCAGAGCTAGTGAGTGCTTATTATGACATTGTATAGTGAGCAATTGAACAAAGAAAAGAAATGAGGGAAATGGGCTTTGAACTAGCCTGGCTTTTGGACTTGAAAAGTTAACTAATTGAGACCCAAAGTTCCACAATCGGTTTTAAAAATGTAACTTTGTAAAGCAGGCTCTTAACTGTATAGTTCTAGCTTTATAGACAATTCCTGACATGAAAAACATGACTGGAAAATGCTATGCAATCCAAATTCAGTACTTTGTCTACATATTTAAAATAGTCTGTTTTTCTTCTTTTTTATTTGGGTTACTAATTATCAATCAGCTCAGCTCACTACTACTACCAATGAAAGAAGGCAAATTGTTTTCAGCACAAGACTATATATTGTGACAATAGGATGCAGTTCACCTTAGCAATGCTTGTTTCCTGGTGTATGAGAGACAAAGGACTCCAGTGATACTAATATTGGAGTTATCAAAGTGTTTATTTCTTAGTAGTAGGTTCCAGGAACCCACATCCTTCAGTACTTGGGGGATAAAAGTAAAACCAACAACTTTTCCCAGGTTTCAAAACACAAGCCTATCACAGAGGTTGAGTGGGTAATCTTTTCCATCTTTCCTATTTGGTAACTAGACTCTACTAAACCAGCCTCAACCTAGCAGCTTGATCTCCAAAAGACACTCAATGAGCCTTTACACACCCTTTTATATCATTGACGTGGCTAATGAGATGCTGCCTTGAGTTAACTGAGCACAGGTGTTGTCAATAAAGGCCTGTGCTCAGTTAACTCAAGGCAGCATCTCGTTAGCCTTGTCAATGTAATCAAGTGTGGCCAATTGGGATGTAGTTTCCCACCCTTATGCGTTTCTTGAACTACAAAATGTAAATGGGGGAATGTTATAGACAGTAAAGAGTGTGCCATAGCCCGGATCCATAATAACACCTTTCATTACTTCAGCCTGTATTTTGTTTTACAAATAATATTTTGCTTCAAGTTTTAAATGCAGTGCGAAAGCCCTGATGCACAGTAAAGTACAACACGACAGAATACTAAGCAGAAATCCAGAGAATTTTGTTTTTAAAAATCCAATTATTGTATCCATGTTTTTTTTTTTCAAAATATTTTGAAATTCTGGGGGGGAAAACATCAAGCAACAGACAACAAACACAACAAAATGAGTCATTTTACTTAGGAATTCACTCCAGTTAAACTGTTTTACTGCTTCTGTTTATATATTTCACTGAGCACACTGTTATTATAGATCTCGCCTGTGTACAGTACAAATATAGTATAGGGAGTGTCTAAAGCTAGTGATTTGCTTTGATCCACCTAAGCTGTAATCAAAACCACTGAATTAGAGAAAAGGAATTGGAATTTGAAATGTGAAAGGAGGCTCTGATGAAAGGCAAAGACAGGGGTCAGGTAAAGCACACGCATGATGTTTTGTGTAGCTGAGTCAGTGACTATCTTGGCTGTAAGTGAGAAGGTTGTGCCACTGGGTTGGGGGTCCTGGCTGTCATCCACTGAACAAGCTTACAGACTTGAGCACTGTCTGCCAGCTGTGTGCACACAGGGGCTGAGTCAGGGAGTGAGTCACGTGGAGAAATGCCAGCAGTACAGATGGACGGGATCTTAGTAGTGAAAGGAGACACTCTAATGAGGAAAAATCTAGAGGGGAGAGGATGCTCTGTTCTCAAATAATTCGAAGAGTTTTGCTGAGCAGAGGTAATTCAGAATCTAAGTTGACAATCGGTGCGATGAAACATTTCCTTTCTCCTGTGGGCCTTCTGTGACTATACCTCTACAAGGCTTGAACTAATCCCCAGGAATTGTCTGCAACTCCAGCACACAAACACCAGTTTGTGCTATTTTGGTGAAAAGGGGAAAAGTCCCGTTGCCTCTTGCGAGATTGTCAAGGGGAAGAAGAGAGCCACCTGCAGAGAAACAAGCCATCCTGATCTTAAGCCAATCCAGCTCTGTAAACACAGACAGTACATGCCCCAATCTGTTTATTCGTGCTCTAACAGCTGCTATAAACTTCCTGAAACCCTGAAAGTGGATGACTTCCTCTGGGTGTTCTGTGACTAAATATTTGGGTACAAACTAGTAGATGTGTTATTAGTTTCATATGTCTGCATTTGTACCCCTTTTACCATGGTATCTGTTTCTCAAAAACATCGGCTGCTTTTCAGGTATTCAATCACTAGAATCAAAGAAAGAAAGACATCCTCTCAGAAGCTGAACATTGATAAACATTTTGAGTAACCTCCCAGTCAGGAAGATACAAAAGCAAGCAAGTAAACAAATACTGAAGACAACTAAATAAAATACAACTGGTAACACTGCAAATCATTTGGATCCTCACTAAAGTGATGAGAGCCATTAATGTGAAATGATTCCCCAAAAGTGAGCAATGTAGTGCTGACTTTAAAAATTAGCGGCTAGTTTCTTATACTATCAACAGTATTGTGTCATAGTTTTTACAAATAATCTCTTGCTTCATGTTTTAAATGCTGTGTGAAAACTCTGGTACACAATAAGGTACAGCATGACAAAATACTAAACAGTAATCCCTACAATCTTCTTTTTTTAAAAGCCAATTATAATTGTATCCGTGCTTTTTAAAAAATATATATATTTGGGAAAATATCAAGCAAAAAACAACAATTATTAGACCTGTTAGACATTATTATCTATTAGACCCAAGGAAGTCCTCTTCATTCTCAGATGGACAGCTTGTATTTACCAGCTGACAAAAAGGCGACTGGACTGCTGGACTACAGTTGTGTTTGTCTCTCACAGGAGTCTTACGAACCGGATGGAGTGATACACAACGCCATCGCCATGGACAACCTAAACCGAAACCAACCCAAACGCACGCGACAGACCCATCAAGTTTTACAGGTAGGCCTCAAGTGGCAGTCAGCGAGTTAATAGGGTTGCACAAGTCTTACACAGACTTTTAAAACCCCTCAATGGAGGAAATACCCAGCCCTGGCGGAACCTATTTTGATTCTGCAGAAGACGTGATTCAATTTCCTTTTAATACATCTTGAACTAGTGCCTCCTCGGGGGTAAATGTAAGTTTATGTAAGGTTTGGAGTATGAGGGAATTTAAAACAGATATATCAGCTTTGTTCTCGGAGGGCTGGCAGGTCCTCCAGGGTTCAT